CACATTAATATCATAAGATAATAATGTCCTTCAATTAGTCGGTCATTTACAACAAAGATAGTTTACGGGCACCTCAGACCAGATCAGGTGGTGAACGCTTAAACAACAATGTGATTGGTCAGTTATAGCATAACTACAATTAGTTATAGAAATAACTAACATAAGACGTTTCTCTGCAGGCTGTTGAGGGCGATTATGATTCAATGCTTCTGTCCAAACCAGCTGGCTCTGAACCACTGCTTCCGTAGCTAATGACCTGGACCTTTTACAAAGATTTTGCATCAGTTCAACCTTTCCACACTTCCGGTAACGAGCGCGGCGTAACTGACTTGAGCTAAGAAGAAGCAGTGTACCATATGAAAGACAAAGTTTGAGATGCAAGAGCAAATTAAAAGTACCCTTCACCATATTCACGAGCAGGTTAAAATGGGACTGTTCAAGCTCTAAATTTTTAACTTATACAGTGCACTAGTTTTATACAACTGTATTAGTGAAAAGGGATAGCAGAACTAATGGTGGTGTAACGAAGATGTAAAACATAGAAGCATGGCTTTTCTTAAGGGCGTTACGATAAAAGTGAGCTGATACTAGCATGTGATGCAAGCTCTTGCAATCTTCGTAACGTTAACGGATGTATAATTGCATCCATTCTGTTACTTATTGTTAGTGATCTTCTGATGGATGCCACAGACAGGCGTGTTTCGGAAGGAAATTCTTCCAGAACTATGAGATTTGACGTGCAATGGATTCATACTTTGATTACGCATTTATGGTGGCACATTCGAAGCTAACAGACGAAAAATCCTGAACAACTTTGTCTTCGGTGTTAAGGTCACTAGCAAGCTTCCATTTGATTTCTTCCTATGAAAACGTGCATCCAACAACAACACGAAAAACAGAGGAAACTAAGCGGACGACATTTTACGAATATGCTCTGCAGAGGTACACAGATCTCTCATATTTCTTGGTTCATCTACGCAGGACACGTTCATTTATTTGACCTGTCTTTCTGATTTTATTCAGTTATGTTAGGCCCTGAGTCTAGCCAAATAGTAGTTCTTGACCTTCTATTATTGTTTGAGATTTAGTACGGCTACATATCACATTCAATGGACCTAATATATCCTTCGAAGCACTAAAAATATTAACAGACCATGAATATATTGCACACGCATTACCATTCATGCAAGTATCACGAAATGGTAGAAATATAATTCCCCTACGCCAAATAACTGAAATGAGTCACGCCTTTATGCTTCTACCATTAGCATTTAAAGTTTCCTTAATTTTCGCAGTTGAATCATTACCTTCTAATCTTGACCACAACTCTTAGTTTTGTTTCTAGTTTGAATTAATTGTTCTGGTTAGCGTTTTTTCGGCAAGTGAGATTTCGACGGAATGGGGTCGCCAACCCCATGTCCAACCCTCCTCCTTTATCCGGGCTTGGGACCGGCAGTAGCCCCTAAGGTTCTACTGGCGGAGTTTTTGTTTCTAGTAGACAGATAAATTGAAAAGCCTGTAAGTGCTGCTCCTCTGCCGTCGACCACGATAAATTCAGACCATCTAGTGTCATTGTGAGTTCCCTCTTATTCGTGGAATAACAGTTTGATAAATTTTTAACTTTCGAACACCTGGATTTATCGCTTGCTTACAGCCTTACTCATGAGTTTTTAGCACTAGTTCTCTTCATTTTCTTCCGCTAGCTACTGACCGTTCCTGTCTGCGAACTACCTATTCACTGATCCTTATCTTACAATTTACAACATTAGTTAGCTGAATATCAGTGTAGTGTGCTGCATATATTTCATCCAGCATTCAGAAGCTAAAGTTGTCTAGTTTGTTAGCAGCAACAGTGTATTCCGACAATTTGTGCGAAAATAAGCTTAGAATAAAACATTAAAACCATACCACAAAACTTAAGAGAACCTAACGTCACTTTTCCTCGTCAGCCGCGTCTATGTCCCACGTTTGTGATTTTACTTTGGTTTTACTGAATACCAAGAAATCCTTTACAAGCCGATTCGCACAATTATATTGAATAAGCGCTAACTCGTGACTTCTTGGAAAACGATGTTAAAGAAAGTAAAATCATAAATTAAATATCTCCAAAGCACCAAATCATTGTACCTCCTTAGCATATTCAGTAAATCAACATAATTTTTCTTAATTCAATTCTTTTCAATTTACTCTGTTTGAAAGAATATTTTCTTCGTTGATCTACAGCATTCTGCTACGTAACTGAAGAATTCGAAGTGGCAAGTCATACGCGACCCAAATGTTAGAAAACCATGTTGTGGTATAGAAGTAAAATTTTAAGTTACTAAGTAACCAGAGTTGCCGTTTGGACAACCTTTGCCATAACTCTTTACAGAACTATAGTGATATTAATGGGCTTGTAAGTAGCAGTCTTATCTGTTTCCCGAATTTTATATTGAGGGATAATGTTGTCGGTCTTCCGTTCGTCCAGGATCGTGCTTGTATCTAATGACACAAAATCCACAAAAAACAATGACATGGATATATATGTATACTCGTTGTGGCCTTGAAAGACTTTATTGTTTCAGATATGTTTTGCCACTGAAATATAAGTTAGACGGTCACTAGATGTAAGTATAATATTGCCAAGACTAAGAGGTCGCTCCTTAATAAATTTGGCAAGGAAGTTACTTGTGGGGTTAATATAGACTATCTCATCAAGGATAAGAAATGGGATTTCTTTCGGTTTAAATATGCGTTTCCACAGAAGTGATTTGGGTAGTTTTTCTCGGGCTACTTTTGGGTGTTTAGCTTCACTTCAACCACATAATGACCTGGCAGACTAACAACTTTGATGTATTGAGAGCAAGGTTGGTGTAGTGCAGAAAGTTTCCTGACTTTCAAGCAGTAATTATGCGGAGGTAGGGGATAAAGACTGATTGCTGTGAATCTGAGCTCTTTTTGAACTTCTACGGTATCTTAACTTGACACCATAGTCCTAAAGAAGATATTATTCTTATCTGGCAGTGATTTTGTAGTAAAATAATCGTTCCAGCTGGTGTATTTTATAAGTTTCACTAACAACACTAAATTTGCAAGCTTCCAATATCCAATATCCAATATCTTTTTCACGAGCTAGTGTAAACCAATTTGATTTCTTCGCGCTCGATTCTTGTTCTTTCGGTACGGTTTCAGGTGTTCGGTAATGTCCAATGGATGGAGGTCTAGCCACTCGACTGTCTAATTCTAATCAGTTGGCAGTTGGTTGTGAATTTGCATGTCTCGGGATTTGAATGAAACGTTTGTTTCAGGGCAGTAGGGTTTCTGAATACTAGCAGCCGTCACATTACCAAGCCGGAGATCAGTTAGTTGCAATGTGGAGAGTAATAAGGGTAATAAGGATAAAATTCTAATGATAATATGAATAAAATTTCAGAACTGAGTAATATATAGATGAATTTAGTTTATTAATTGGTAGTGAAGATTGTGAGAGAGGACCGAAGTGTAAGCAAGGGAGAGGAAACAGAGATAATAGGCGAGATAGATTAATTGAGTGATCTGAGGAGGTGGCAATGGTAACAACTAGCTAAATATGCATCAAGTACAGCTTGTCCAAGAGGGAGATGATAGTCCGTATGTGAGTACGTGATTATCAAGTCTCTTCTTAAAGCAGTCCACTGAGGGGGCTGTAACTACCTCGGCTGGGAGAGCATTCCAAGTTGCGACGACTCGCAATGATAAAAAGTGTGCACGAATCTGAGTATTTGCACTTTGATATGCAATCTTTCGAGGATTGCCTCGAGTGTAGTGGTGGTGATGCATCGGTAAGATGCTCACATTGGGATGGTTGGGCGTGTTTAATATGGTGTACGCCATAATCAGGTCATCTCTGATTCTCCTGTAGCTCAGTGGGAATAATCCCAAGAGCTGGAGTCTGTCGTCGTAGGGTTTATTTTTCAACCCTATCACCCATTTCGTTGCTCGTCTCTGCACTCGATCCAAGAGATTAATGTCTCTTTGAAGCAGATGGGGTGCGATGACGTTGTGAACCTTCAAGTGTGGGCGCGCGTACGTCTTAAACAGGGGTAAAAATAATTTCGGGGTGATAGCACCAAGCTGTCTTCGCATAAAGTGAAGAGTCGCATTTGCCTTGGCTGCATCCCCTATATAGTTTGGACTCGTGTGGTTATTAAACCAAGATCGCGCTCTGAGGAGACATTAGGGAGCGGACTTCCATTGAGAGTGTAGGTGGTTTGCGTCATATGAGGCAGGAAATGCATGACGTGGCACTACGGTTGGTTGAGTTTTAAACCGTTTTTCACTGCCCAAGCTTGGAACAGCTTATAGTTGCTCGGTGTAGGTATTCTCTAAACTTCATATTTAGTATGTTGATTAAATGGTATCAATAAACTACCTTGTGATTGCTAGCAGCACACTTTTCTGACGTGTGTTACTATGGGTATTATGCCGTAACATAACCCAATCAGTGCAGTTGAATGACTAGATTACTATCCGTTGGACACAACCGAGTACCAAGAAATGAGCGCAAAGACATCTATCGGTTTATAGTAACTCATGAAAAGGATATCAGATTGGATATTGGATAGTGTTCTATATTTCTGACATAGTGCTTTGCACGGTCCCGGAAATTCGAGTCAAGGTCATTGTAGCCGTAAGTATTATACTTTAGTCTTTTTGTTTTTTAGTTTAAGGTTTTTAGTTTGTAAATTGCTTGATTATTCCTAAGTGTCCTCCAATTCTTTTAATAACAGCGTAAGGTACAGCTCAAAATCATTTCTATTATGTGTCCTTTAAATGTCTTACATTTAGTCTTCCTTTTTCGTTATCCAGATTGTACTGCGGCTGATTGAATTGTTATTGTTCAGCGACCTTTTGTTGAACTATATATATTAGGCCCGTGTGAGGTTAATTTACGGATCAAATTTCGCTAGACGTTACAATTCACGCGTTTTCTGCTTGTAATACTTCTGGTCTGCGGATAAATCACTTTACAGGACTGGAGAATGATGAGCGTTTTCTTGTTCGTCCCAAATATACTTGGTACGGTAATCTTTGTTTATCTTGCTCGTTAAATGTTTAATATTTTCTACTAACTTGTAATGTTGCACGAATAAGTGATTTCTTCGATATACTTCACCAACCACAAGACTTCTTGTCTATCCTTATTTTATATGCAATTTATTGTGTTCACTATTGGTAGTGACTGTGTGGGTAGGCGATTTAAATTCTATTAGGTGAAAACGAATCATTTTATGTAACTACCAGCTTATTAGTTATCATATACTGGTAAACTCATGATTTTTCATTTAGCTCTTAAAATAATATGAGCTATCCAGTGTCGATCACTGGATTTCGGCCAGGAATGCTGCAAACTCTACCTTAACTTCGATCTGCTTGTTAGCAAATTATTCCTCTACCATTCTAGGTCCATATATTATTTTTGTTGACTTGGATTTTTATTATGGTTTGAATTCTGATTTTCACCTGACAGTTGGTTAATACTGTAGCACTTTAGCTTTCATTATGTTCTGCATCTAATTAATGAATACGAAAGCTTGGTCGCCACAAACGTAGTGGTCTACCCCAGAAATATTTCGGTACTTGATTACATGAGGCGCTCATATTCCAGCTAATGAATCTTAATTTTCAATGCTTAAATTGCTTTCCTTTTTTGATCACTTTATTATTGAAACGCAGAAACCTCTCAAGTAATTAGTTAGTGACTAGTGTAATTATTGCTCCCGAAGTGTATCAAACAGTTTCACAAAATTTCTTCAGCATGTCCCTAACCTCCTTCCAGCTGGATAAGTTACTTCGAAATGTCCATAGATGATGAAATCAAGTTCTGTGTAAGCTGTCCAAAAGTCCCGACACAAAACTACATAGCAGAAAGGTGAGTAGTGCTAGAGGAACCATCGTCAGCATCTCATAGTTTCACTTTTTTGACAGTTTTGGCTAACGTGTATCTGATACTCTCTTTCAAAATGCATCTTTAAGGATGTATTAACATACTTCCGGAAATTAGATAAAATAAAACTTCTTTGTAATGTGAATATCAAGATAAATGCCATAGTTGTGTTCAACGCTCCACTGTCATCTAACTCGTTGGTAGGTAAAATGACATCTGGTTTGCTAGAAGATAATCTGACTTAATCCACCTTCTACAGGTCACTCTCAATTCTTAGAGATCAATACACTTAGTCCTACTGTTCTAGTGGTTGGATGTTCTGTAAATCTTGAGAAAATGAGGCGGAGTAACTAAAGGCGCTTTAGGAGTACCTAAAAATATCACACCAAGCTATACAATAAAAAAGATTCAAATCTATTGTGGTAAAAGCAATTTAAATTTCGATTTCTTCAAATCAGTCGACTTTTAATTAGATTTATTTTGTATATCAGTGAGTTACTTTATTGTATGAAATATTTATTTCACTGGTAGCTGTTTCCTCTTCTGACATCTCGAGGCTTTAGTATCGTGAGCGTGTTGTCAACCAACCATTCCATTTCATCCATTAATTAAATAACATATAGACATTTGTTCATTACAAACAATGAAATCCTAGAGTAGTTCATGGTGTCTGTTGTAATCACTAGAACGTATTACGAATGTGTATCATCACACAAGCAAACAATATTGTTTTCAATCATATCATCATCAGGCTTTACTCTAATACCCATGATTATTTATATCGAATTGTTAAACCAATCAAGGCAATTTGAGTCAATAATCACAATGAAATAGATTCAGTCACTACACATAATAAGCCAAAGTACAAGTTGATAGTGGGAAGACAGGTGTACTGGTAGTAGTAGAAATAATAAAATACGTTAACAAGAGTTTTATCACTAGTTCAACATTGGAAATAGTAGGTCAGACGGATAAATAGATGTAAAATAATTCTTTGAAAAACTTGAACATCATTACGTAATAAGAAATTTGTAAATAATTAGATAGTCAAGACTATGGACGGAAAGAGGCGGAAAATTACAAACCAGTACAGGATCTGAAAATAATGCTAATGATAACAAAAATAAGATAAAAAAATACAAAATCTTTTAAAATTGTCTAAGTTATATCGGGCCACGGAAGGGATAGGGTTGTCACGAATTTCTGTGTAGGCAGTAACTACCAAAGGCAAATGGATGAGGTCGCGCTAAATCCCTTGATCAATCAGAGTTGGACATCAACATCGTTGGATGCCGGCCCAGTGGTCCAGAGGTTAGGCGTTCGCGCACAAGACCGAAGGACCTGGGTTCGAATTCCGTGAGGTGCAGGATTCATGGATGCGCACTGCTGATGAACCCCATACCAGGACGAAACGGCCCTCCAGTGCTTCAAGGTTTCCAGTGGTGGTCTAACAATGATTGATTAATGATTTCAGATGGGATTATGCCCAGTTCCCAAATCTTATCTAAGATCTCAGTCAATCTCACTGTTAAAACTGGCGCAACATCCTTAAAAATCTTAGGAAGTAGCCTGTCAGGATCCGTCGCTCTCCCTCGTTTTTGATTTGCGATAGCTATTTCAACTTCATAAAGAGTCGGAGGATGACTGAAGATCGTGGGCGACCGAATTGTGGCCGAAGGCCAGTCAAAGTGATCCTTAAAGTGTTCTGCCCATCGATCCAATATCCTAGGTGTAGAATGAGTGATAGTCATCCTTTTCTGAGATAGTTTCGTTAACCGATGGATTTCTAATGCCGATTTTTCTAATAAGGCGGAGCAGTTGTCTACTGTTACGTATTATCGCTGCTTTTTCCATATCTCTTGCTGTTCGCGATCATTACGTAGGCTGTTTGTCAACCTGCGCTTAGGCTAACTTTGCTTCTCATCATGTTCACAGCCAGGCTGGATGAGTTTCTGAGCGTCTTTCAGTTCGGTGGGTGCGACTGAGATCCACAACTTATCCCTAACCTTATAGTTCACCTTATTAGCAGATATCAATGCTGTTTCTACAGCTTGTTGTATATCATTCTAAGCTGCTTCAGGGTGGACATCACTTAATACATGGCCGCCTAACTGTTTTTCTTGTTCTTCCTGAAATATGTTCTTAGCTTTATTGTCATTAATTAGAACCCTAAGAGGTTTTCTTGTGGTGTCTGGCAATGCGTATCAGCTTAAGTTGTCGCCTCATATCAACACAGTGGTGAGATTAACAAAGCGTGGAATGTTTGGGGAAATAATGCTAAATTCAAAAAATTATATACATGAGGTATAATTCAAATAAAAATCTTACTTCGAATCCCATTGGTTACTGGATTTAATAACTTCGATTGGTCATTGAAAAAGAGAATCTCATGATATCTTACGAAACGATCAAACTATCCCACTTACTAATCCAGAAATATTGTGTATAGAACCTATCACAATAGCTCATCAGAATTTCAGTACCTTAGTTGAAGAGGACTATTTTTCAAAAAGAATGTGCTTTGGAGAACGTCTTACCGTAGGACATGACCCGACTCCTCTTACTTGAAACATATGGCTAAAACTTCTACATTTAAGTCTGTACGTTTTCAGACAGTTCATTTGTAACCTCTCTATTCACATTATGTTATTCACTTGTCTTCTTTTTCCCTTTGTTTTTCGTTCAAATCAAAAGGCATAGATCAGTTTTCTCGAGCAATTTATAATCTATGGTCTGGACTACCGTTTTAAATGGCTCATATTACTCCTCACCAACCTCAATCTTCGTTTTTATTATTATCTTACATCTTTTTCATTCATTCTTCTCCTACAGTATATTTTATGTTGAGTTTTTACTAATGCTTATATTATTACCCTAATTTCTTTACTTTTAACTTCATTAGTTTTTTCTAGTTGTAAACTAAAAAAACGTCAACTAATGTACTATTAAGCCTTATATCATCTTGTATGATTTATCAATATACCTTATTTACTTCAAAAACCCTTCGTGATATTCTAAATGGTTCGAAACGTTAAGAAATATCCAACATTTCGTACTTCTATAATTTAATTTTTTCTACTGATTCTCTATAAAGGAAAATGTCAAATGAACAACATAATTACTATAACTTGACACCGTTATGTATTTGATATAGTTGTTTAAAATCTTCCATGACTAAATTAATTTCATCGTGTCAAACTAGCATTTAACTGGGAGTAAGAAAGTTCGAATGGTAATCATTGCTTGTAGATAAAATAATGTTTTATAAAAAAACAGAACACATCTTAACGTGTTACTTTGATTTGAATTTTACAGGTTACATACGAATCATACTTTTATTTCAAGCATGCTATTTTATGAAAACTAATTGTGAATTGACCCTTTTAACGTATATCATTTCGTGTTTATTGGATGCGGTCGATGGATGTGCTGCACGCGCACTAAACCAAAGTAATATTCTTCCAGTAACTTCTTTTAATGATTAAGGTACGAAGTTTGGTGCTATGTTGGACATGATTGTTGACCGATGCTCAACAATGTGTTTATTGGCTTGCCTCACTTATTTTTATCCATCCTACATGCTTTTTTTTCAAATCAGCATGATTATAGATATAGCTAGCCATTGGTTACATTTACACAGGTGAGAAATCATATAATTATTACTGGTTCAGTTCTGTTCTATCAGGAAAATCAAGTCACAAATTTATCGATCTTAAAGCGAATCGATTTCTCAAATTGTACTATACAAACAGGGTATGTCATATCATTTTCAAAGCGTATTATTTTGTTCACAACATATAGGTCGTTCTGTTCTTAATGTGTGCAGGAAATGAACTTTTCTATACAATGCTTTATATATACCACTTCTATTCCGGACCAAGAGGCAAGTCTACATATCTTGTTTTTCATGTGATTGTCATGGCTTAGAATAAATAGCTGTAAAACTGAAGCTCATATAGACATATAAAGCTAATAAATTTTTCATTTGTGAAATAAAGCGCAAAGTCTTGCTCGTCGTTTATGTGCTAACACAGTTTTGCGTATATCGAGTTTTTAGCCGTTCTGTGATACGCCTCATAATCCACGTAAAAGACCAATTTGTTCAGCATACTTATCAATGATTTTAAAGCCTATCGCCTAAAAACGGGTTCGTAAGATGTTAGAAACGGTAATTTTTATACTTGAGTTCAATTCGGTTACCATATACATCAATCTGTAATATATATCAATTAATCATGTCGACTCTGTATATGACTGACTGACTGGCAGTCAACTTTCTCCAAATTAAACTGATAATAAATCACATATAGCTTAATTTGACGATCACTTGGGATAATAACAGTCTTGCTCTGCATTAGTTCAGCAGGCTTTTAATCTTAACATTCCTTTTCAACTTTTTTTACAATAATGATAGTATAAGTTTTTTGAAGATGATTATCAGCGATGTGTTATGATTCTCTCTTAGTAGAACCTAACTCTTCCTATTGCTTAGTATTTCTCGAACACCAATCCACTCGACAAGTCTGCAAATCAGAACACGGTTGAACAGGGAAGAGCTTATATTCCAAATAGCAAGGTTAAATGGAAGATAGAAGCTGAAGCGAAGGCGAAGTAGGAACAACGTCAGTATCTGTATAGTTTTTACATGATAAGCAGCTAACGCAATCATTCTGTAATCCCATCTATGTCCCACTAACACGATAAGAATCTACTAATATTAAAATGACTTCTGAATTTCCAATGTTTGGCTAACACTATTTTACATAGTAGGCGAGTCATTTTACTAGTAAGCGATAACTGATTACATTTTGTGTTTTACGATTTAGGTACAAGATTCTGAAACCTTAGCAGATCCATATCCTTTGCTTAGATTAGTGTCAAGAATAGTATGGTTTGTTAATTTAGGCTTTACATGAATGCCAGTGATTTGAAGAAGACACATGAAGCACTTTGAACTGTGTGGTTTACTGTGTTTTTTTGTCACAACACTTAATTTGTGTCTTCATTTCTTTTTTATCGTTCTAAAATCTTATGATTCTCAGCTTAGGGTTAGGAATGGACCTTGATATCGTACAATAAAAAATATATGCTCTAATATAATACCGAGTTTGGAATCACATTACTGATAAGGCAATTTGAAGTGATCCGAATAAATACCAGGTTCTATTTTGTTGATAACAGCTGAACAAGTCCTAATGGCTTTTTTATTCATTTTGTGTGATCTACTAGTTCTTCATTTTTTTGTAGGCTAAGGTGTTTAACATTCTGAAACATCCTGCAAAATAATTTCAGAAATTTACACCGCATTTGTGTCTGCTTTCTTTTCCTTTCTTTAACCAGTATTTTCTTTTGGACTATGGAGTTTATTGATTTGTTTAACAGCACCAATAGCGTTTCTGAAAATGTTGATTAGCCTTATTCAGCTTCATGCAGCTTGTGTGAATATGGTTTCATTGGACGAACTAGAAAGGTCTCAGAATAAAGCAGATTAACTACGTCTGCTGTTGCTGATTCCAAAAAGAGGTATATATTAATGAATAAAAACCATTTCAGGTAATATATTTCTATAACATTTGATGTTTGAGCTAACCTGAGTAATTTTAAAGTACACTGTGCTGTGTTGCAACATCTCTTCTCATAATATTTATATGAATATTAAAAAATTTTAAACTCGTGATTTTTGTTTGAAAATTAGATGACATTATATTCTTCGCACACATTCATACATTCAACTAATATTATCGAACTGTTTATTTTGCACTCATATATTTGCTTTAACTGTTTACTTACTGTTATTGCATTTCTTATTCATTTACAATCATGGTAATTTAGTTATTTTCAAATTTTTGATCATATCAGTTATAGTATAATTTGTATCACACATATATCTAACTTCATTTCAGTTAAGGATTTTATTCTTCTTATAATTTTGTGTATTTTACAAGTTCGCTGTATCGATAAGTATTTTACATTATATGCAGTTTTGTTGTCCATGAAATATTGCATCCAAATTTGCGATGTTTTTTTTTACCTTAGTATGTATATTCTGTCCAAAGCTCTAGTATTAAAACCATTCAAACTGGACTGGATAAAATGAATTATTTCGCTGATAGGTTTGTTGCCAAGCAGATAAATGTTACAGCTTATCTTTGTTTAAAGGCACACAATATGATCGAAACACTATAGTGAACTTTGATCTGACTGTAAATAATCCATTTACTGATTATCCGTTACTCTGACACGTCAAAATACCACAGAAACCTGGTTGGTGAATTTAGGAAACTACGTTCGGTGATTTAGGTATAGCTAACAGTCAGCTAGTGTTATTTGTTGTCATCATAAAGTCTAACCCTAGTTACGAAAGTTTGTCCATCGGCTAATGTTTACTTTTGTCCTCATGACAGGATATTCCGACTGAATAAAAGTTTACATATTATAAACAGGTAAGTAACGTGTGTTATTCATTAAAAATTGTTATCTTGGTTTAACAACCTGCTTTTTTTTATCGATTGAATACAATAATATATTGTCTTTAACAGTTTATATTTAATGAAGTATCAAAGTGACCTTACTTTTCATCAAAAAATCTAATTACAATTTGGTGACCTTTTATAACATTATAGCTTTATTTTGCTGAATTCCCGTAAGCATACTTCCTAAAATATATCACTCAATTATTTTCAGCTACATTTCATCTTCGTTCGTCATCGCTTATCTGTCGCTGAGTCAGGATTCTCTTAATATACATATGCACATACACACTTTCATAGAAGCATACCATTAGGTCTTATTAAGAAAAGTAATGACTGCTATTAAATGCAAATTAAAATACATATAAAGATACTGTCGGTTAGTTGTAAATATTATATGTATGTCTATGTGATTCTGTATGTCTGTTTCTAATAATTTCAAATTATCACCAACTTCTTGTACAAGCGCTAATAAGGCTGAAGGATCCAAATACTGCTAAGTTAATTCATAAATTGTAAAGATAACAAAAACTTCATTCAGAAAATTAATTCTCACTACTAAGTCTACAATACACTACATTAGAATTAAAATGTCCAAACTTGTTTACAATGATAAAAGTTGTTCATATCCAACTGAGGACAGTCAACCCACTCTTAATTCAAATGTTTATTTTAATTAACAATAGTATGTAAAAAACATTTTTGACCGAAACCTAAACATCGATAAAAATTAGCTGTAAAAAATACCAACGTTCTATTCATCATTTTATGCTTGCAGTTCTAAGTAATTAGAAATTTAGATTCTCCTACTTTAATCTAACTGTTTACTACCAATGCTCCCATCAAAAATCATTGATTCAATTTTAAATTATTCACTTCTTATCAAATGTTCAGCAGTTTACAGAACAATATTTCACTCATAGTTTTCAGGATGCATAAATTTCTATTTAACATAATATATACTTTAACTTGACGTAATATAAATACATCGAAATACTAAGAAATGATCCCAGCCACTATACTATTTTAATTGATCTTCAATTACATTTTACTAAGTAGGTATTAAAATAATTGTGGTCAATTCAGTATGAAATACAACATGATCAGTATTAGTTCCGGAAATACTTGCCTATTATCAAAATAAATAGAACGTATTGAATGCAATTTGATCGTTTTTATTTATGGTGTGTTTACAATGGTATGCTAGAAAAATTCGCTATTTTCCATCGACTGTACATAGTATGTAAAGAATTTACATAACTTAGGGATGGGTATAGTACTGGTGAGATCGGAAATTACTTTGTTACTTTCGAGTAAGTAGGTCAGTTTGATAATCTTTTTGTATGACTAAACAATGAACAAACTGACATTTGATCTCATGATCTTAGTGCGATAGCTGCTCGATGGATCTGATCGAATTTAAGCGATTAGATTTACAAAAATGGGAGCTACATGGTTTCGGTTTGAGTGACCGGGTTGTGTCGCAGTTAATGTAGCCAAATTACAAAATTCAGTCAGTCATAATCAACTTACGGTACGTCACAGATGTGTTTTGGCTCAAGTTTTCATACAATATTGGTATGACGAGATGACATTAATTAGATTAGTTAAAAAGGAATCAGAATAATGAAATAACAACAGCATTGAGAATATGGTTCGAAGAGGCAATGGGAATGTATTTGTGAAGAAACACTGAAAATAGAAATTTAGAGGAAATTGAAGAGCGAATGCACTGCACCACTTATTAATTCTTAACCGTATCATCTAACGTCTTCGATCACTGATGACAGGTATCTCAATCAAGTAATCTTTATCCACCTATGCGTCTCCGACCGAAAGACACTGACTTCATTGGCTGATTTACGTAGTCACTATGCTCATGTAATAAAGTAGTCTCTATTTATAAGTATAATTACCAACGTTTTAATTGATAGTTTCCAATAAATTGAGCGTCGACTAGATTGTTCATAGTAGCAATGATCATTTATTTGTAATATCCAAATAAGCAAAGAATTAAATATTTGACATTTCGATGTCTAGTGTAAGTCACTTCTAAAAGTAGACAAATATGAGTCAACATAAGTTTAAAGGGCACAAATAAACAAAGCAATAGCATTTAGTACACTCAGAAATTAAGTCTAATCGAGCCAATGTCACGTTATTTCGGTTCACATGATTCTATGTGAGATGTGCATATGTATTTTTGTGAATATAACAAACTTATTATAGTTCATAAGATCATGTTCTTTTGTTTGTCCGGATGTTATAATTATTTTAACATGGTCCAACTATATTGTTTGCAACTTCCAACTAAATTGTTTATTTTAAAATATTATCATATTTGTTTAATGGCTAATGCAAATATAAACCTAATGATGGTGATTATTTTGTCAGTAATCCGATTATTTTCGCGAATACATAATCTGAACATGAGAACACTGAATCGCTATTTGACACATATTGAAATAAAAATGAGGATAGATCTCAATGATGAAATACAACTCAACAATAAATACAATTTTCCTCCTTACTAACCTATATCTCGCTGATGAGTAGGCGTGCCATATAACAAATGAACAACTGTGAGAATGATAGGGGTCCAAATATTTTACTCCTAAGTGTGCTTATTTGATAACTTTCTAGGCTAAACAGTTGAACCTATGCGATTGCTCTTTTACAGGTGGTGCGTTGATATCCACCAAGAAAAATACAGGGTATTATTAATTGGATAAAATATAGTACCAGTTAACATTGTTTCATATGAAGCTTTTTCATGTCATTATTATTAATCCTATTATTGATAATAACGTTGTGAAGTTGCATAAAATGAAAAGTACATGAACTTTTTATGAGGGTCAAACTGTTCAATAGTAATTATGAATTTTCTAAATATTTATTTATAAAATATGGTATTTGTAGGAATTCACAATTTTAGATTTACTGATTAGTGTCAATTCCACAATGTTTATCATACAATATCGACAATTTATGAAAACAATTCAGACACTTAATTATCATCATTTTGTAATTGAATTAAGTTATTATTAATAAAATTATTGACAGGAAACTGAAAGGCTGAGTTACTACGTGCTTAGACCAGTATTCATGGCAGTTTAAATGTTTGCAACCACATGTCTAAGTGAAATTTCTTCACCATGCATATTACAAATGCAGTTATCATGCCAATTTATCTACTAAGTTCTAACAATCAAAGTGATTTTATAGGAATCTTCCATAGTGGCAAATGACCTTAAGGATTAAGATAGCGCAAAATTAAAAATGCAGTGAATTTAAGACAGTACCTAAACTAACTTACAAAAATTACTTATTCCTGGTGCAGATTGTGTGTTTGAACATGTAATGTGTTTGGTATGACTAGATAGTATTCTCTTACTCTGTTTCCCGACTCTCAATTTCTGCGAAAAGTTCCTCAAGTTTGTAAGCAAAAGGTCATCATTACACTACGGTCAATGTCATTTTGTAATAAATACCCTATCCTTGATTTGTAAATTGAATTCACGACCGTAGCTTCACTCACAATAACTTACCCTGATCATTTTGCATTGTTTGGTGTTAGTTGGTGACGTTAACCCTCTAGAGTTATAACCCTAACTCATAGCTCTAGATGACTTTTTATATGCAACCTTAACCATTTTCTTTTACTATTAAGAATAATTCAGTATATGAGAGTTAGTGATTTGTATCGAAGCTGTTATTTCACAATTTTTTATTATATTAATTTTATAACTAAACGTCACTTCATGATTGGTCTTTCAAGGTTGTCAGTATAGTGTACTTTTACTGAGAGTATGTTTGTAAAAGTTTCGGCGACTGGAATTATATGGATTACTTGTAAAAACTGAAAATGTGTATAATAACGGTCTTCACATAAACGAGTATTTTTATAATATGTCAATTTGACGTTACTCTTAAATTGGGTATACATTTGAGTGGCTAGTTTGAATGTATAACTTTGAAACTCAGTGAGAATATATTTCTAGAAATATCTATTTATCTCGTACATATTCACAGCCCTGTGCATAACTTGAACATAATTGTTATCCATATAGATAAGTAAATGAGTGTCTAACGTAAACGCCCGAATCTGTTTTCATTATTCACCAATACGTCACTCTCAAAACAACGGAAAACGGTGAGATTTTTCTACGCAATGGAAATCTACTCAGATGAAATCTAAAAATGGTATTCATGGACCGAATATCTTTTTTACTTCCAAAAAGTAGTCAATGAGGAAATATCGAACTGATGTTTGCCAGACAAACCAGTGTACCGAGAGAGCACTGGAAACCTATTCAGGTTAGCGGCTTTCTTAATATCAACTCAGAAAACTGTTGATAGTCTTGGTTGATGCACCCAGTGCCATTGACTGGTGAAACAGTATTTATTCCTTGTTACACTTGTAGGTACTCCAAGTTAATCATTCTGCATCTGTGTTTCGCCTCTGAACTCAGCGAGGTATTGCGAATTTTTCAAAACTACCTTTTGAGTAAAAGTAGCGACGGATTTGGGATTCCTGATTACTTAAGTACCAAGCGAAACATATTCGGGACATTCCGTATGATTTTCTTGCTGTGAGTTCCACAGACTAAGTCACTTAGAAAAAAGACTGCAGCTATCGGAACCAATAAAGGATGAATGCTTTTTCCTGTTCTTCCATCAAACGATAAAACTATGGGTTACTCTGAATAATAACGCCTGCAAACATGTCCAGTCTTACTTTTCTAAATAAAGCGGGGTGACGTGAAAAAATCTGAAAGTCGGCTATCTATTGGCAATTTGGCACTATATTTCTGACTGACCTAAATGGGTAAGATTTGAAGTGATAAATCATTAAAAACCTAATTTTCGTAAACTATACAACATTCCTAAAAGCCTGTAATTGCTAAGACCCATGTAGCGAAAATACGATAATTTATCTAGGTTGTTAATCAATAATAAATTACTATCGTAAAATGATTTGTTCTAGTTGATCCAACGACACCTTGCCTGGGGTAACATAACGTGAGGTAGGATGTGCTAAGATAAAGCTTATTTTGTTGAATGTTTTTGTAAGTTAACATTGATCATCAATCACAATACTGCTATATTAACGTATACTTTATTTTAACGACAAACAGCCCCATTACATCACACGCGATAACCTATCGAATAAGTCTGGAATCTAACGCTAAAAGTTAAGTTTAGGAAATGAGACCGTTTGTAATTTACATCTGCTTTTATTCAACAATATTGAGACTAATATAGAACTCAAAATCATAATTGCTCCACCTCATCTCAGAAAACGAGGGCAATGACACAGAAATATGTATTATATGAATACGTATACAAATAACTTTTGCCGACATTTTGTTAAATAACAACACAAATATATTGCTTCATTGGTTAAATATATTCCTATTAAAACGGCAGACCTAATGCAGGTATCCGTTCAATTAATCCAGTTGATACAAAATCTTTATTCCATATACTGCTAACTATTTAAACTGTATTGCAAAACAAGTTTCTCAGATTGAACATCCTGCTGAAGTGTAGTTGTTTCGTGTATGATTAAAATTCGATTACATATCCCTTTTACAATACTTGGACGTATGTTTTCTCAACAGCTTCATAGATTCTATATCAATTTATATCGCTCGCATGCAAAGTTTTTATGTGCAAATGATCAGATTTACGATATTTATTTCTAATAAAATGAAATATTTGGTTTTATGACAACAGGGAAATGTATTTACAAGACCATTAGTCTGTTTTTATATATGAAATTACAATGACTCGGGATCGATGTAACAGATACTAGTTAATAAAAATAAATTATTTGGAGGAGGATGAGCACTAGGGCTGAGTATGGTGAATGTGGACTTGTCCTCGGAAACACTAACAACCACAATAAATCCATAAACAGGAGCTTCTGGGACTTGGTAAGGTTCCGAAGCTTGAGAAACTGCCAACAGACGGTTCTTCAAATCTCTACTAACCGAAACTTGGATTGGGTTACGCCATGTTTCTTCTTCCTGTGCTCCATGTGGGAGAAGTGCATCAGGAATAGCCTCACTTCCAACTTTGTAAATTGAATACTGGGAATGCAAAGAGCAAAAATCAAACAAGACAGGTGATGATCCAACCTAATAATTCCCAAAAAGTGTTATTCCACAGTATAATTTCCAAAATCAACTATAGCAAGCATTTTTGAAAGTTGACATAAGTTTAATTTGGCAAATGAATGACATCTGAATAGATTTAATCAGGAAGCGGATAATGACATCATTGTAAATGTTTATAAGATTTGGCTCTATAGTTTTCTCCGTATGAATCTACGTAGAATCCCCTCTACGACTTATTCCCATCCTAAGCCGAGATAAACCTCTACTACCATTGGATTTGAATTGACAATTATATCTCTGTGCTGATAAGGTATGGCGACATGAACTGTTGTACTTACGTACAAAGTTCTACGTTGCATCTGACTGACTGACTGAAGCCGAGATAAGGGGTGGTTAGTGAACTCATTTCGAAACCATAAAAATCCATTTGGAACTTGAAAGTACTGTCACTCAGGACAAAAATCACCATTTTCAGTACAAACGTTAAAATAGTTTTGCTGCGCAAAGCTGAAACTTGGTAAACTACAACGACCATCATCAAAATAGTACTAGTATTTTATAGACGTGGCTAAGCAAGATACTCCGAATTCGTTGAACAAGGAAAATCAATAATGACCTGTTGTGGCAGAGGATAAACAACTTACAGACAAGGAGTAAATTAGTAAAATACTGTGGAGGTTGTTAGGACACACTTTACGGAAACAAATAAACTATATCACAAGTCTACGTTGGAATCTATAAGACAGAAAAAAAAGAGATACGTAGTGGAACATGGAGGTAACTGTTCAGCAGCCTGTGCTCAAAAGAAGGAAACAAGATTAGGTGTTTCCCCGATTAAGATACAATTTACTTAACTGATAATCCGATGAAAAAGCATAAACATGTGAATGGGGGATATCAATACCTGATGTAGACCTCGTAAAATAAGAGGACAACTGGCGTAAAGATTAGAACCCCGATCTCCACCTATTGCAAATTAGAGTAGACAGTTGTGGTGGTGTTTTGTTCTCTGAGCTGGTTGTTTTGGTTGTGCAGCTTTCATTGTTCTTCTGAACAACATCATCAGCACAAACTTCAGATAGAAGTGAAGCATTCGAATTTCTCCACGTTTGGTGTTGTTCAGAAGAACAATGAAAGCTCCACAACCAAAACAACCAGCTCAGAGAACAAAACACCACCACAATCATCCACCTGAGCTACAAGTTTTCTCCACCATCTCAAGAGTAGACAGTGTTGTTAGCCCTTATAATTTCAATGACTCGAAGATAACTATACAAACTTATGTGTGGTAGTCGAGCTGACGTTAAAATTAGCGACCAAATAATACAAATAAACTCATATTGCTAAGATCCAACTAAGCTCAGCTTGTATTTTAGTAAAAAATCGATAGAAAAGAAAACTAACCTCAGAAGATTTAAGCGTTATTTGATGTGGATGCAAACGTCTCAAGGGGTTTTCGCCATGTAAATACGCGCAAACTCGAGCATCTCGTTGACGTGTCCACTGATCTGGACTTCTGGTTATAGCACCTGACGATTTGGGCAATCTTACTATAGCTACCTCAGGAGGAAGATCTTCACGCAGAAACGAAGCCAGAAATCCATCTTCTATGACCAATAATGTGTCAACCTATAGAACGAGGTCGTTTTAGTTTTGTGAACATATATATATTAAGCGGATGAATGCATTCGATGAATAAAAGTTTATGTGCTCAGCTTGAAGCTTTACAGCTTCTTGTCAAATCCAGTGATACTTTTTATCTAAAAACAACTGCAGATAATCAGTTAAGCTCTAGTTACTTGTTTTGCTTACGTTCAGACAGATTAGTTTTTAATAGTCTGAGTTGAAGGTCGAATATGAAGCAACGTTTAGACTGTTAAGTACAAAGTAGATAATTAACTGTTACCAGCGCTCTTATTCGTTTTGCCAATGAAAAGTGTGTATTTTTCGCAGATTTAAAGTTCCTTTGAGTTTCAACTGTGGCTTATACCGATTAAGATCACCCAGAATAAGCTACTATGTATCTAACAACCAATTTACGAAGTAATATTTTAATACATACATTGTAGCTTGTATTTTAATTTTGACGGCAAAAACAAGCTTAGTAGAATAACATGAAATCACTCTTTCGTTGTTTCTCATCAGTTTCTTACAACCTAAACAGTAATACACAGACACTACATTTATTCACAAAACAGTAACTATTGATAGCGTGGAGATGAACATGAACTCATTCTCTTTTTTCACATTATTCACGTTTTGCACATATAACTGTTTCATATTATCTTACTTATTAAAGTCAACGCCTAATTATGATCGGATAACCTTTGAATGGAGATTTGTTTGTTCAACGTTCTACATCAGTCATTCAGTTTCAAAGTTGATCTTCGTACGTGCGAACATAAGTTCAGGTTGCCATACCGCACCAGCACAGAGACGCGACTGTCAGTTCAAAACCCATAGAGGCACAGATAGTAGAAGTATTGTTGGCGATAAGAGTTCGAAGATATGATTCAAGAAGGGTAATCCAGTGAAATAAATTTAGAAAGAGCTGATGATGAATTCAGAAGATTAGAATTTGAGAAGAGTGGGTGCAGCTGCGCCATTGCAAACGATTTTGAGTCATGTCGTTTAAGGTTTCTAACCATTGGTTACTATCGTCTCGCCGACCCCAACCTGATAGTCTACATTTACCAACGTGGCTCAGTCCACTTGTCAGTGACTTCATGGATTTGTGCCATGTTTTGGTTTGGCCACCCCTAGCTTTCTTCCAACCTACTCCTACACCACAAAACATAACTCGTCTAGGCAGTCAGTGGTTGGGCATACGTAACACATTTCCCAACCACATCAATTGATGAAGTTTCAATACTTCATCTAATAATCTGCCATCCCTACATACTACTCAATTCCTAACTATAGCATTCCTTGGAAGACATACGTAATCGAATACTAATAACCTCCGAATATTTTCTAATCTTACTGGCCATATTTCACAGCCATAAGTGACGCAATTTGGCGAAAGCCAGTCGAGCCTTCTGTATCTGTGCTGCGATTTTGACTGACCAGTACATAAGTACTGATGAGACTGCCGAAATAAGTGAAGCGGTTAACACGCTCAACCGCTTCACTCCCTATCACTATTTCAGGTGCCGCTGCAACCCAATCTTGAAGCAACATTTTGCATTTCGAGGGGAAAATCGCACTTAGAACATGCTTGCATTGTTGCTTAGGTTAGTCAGAAGACTGCATTTTGTCAGCGTCTTCACCAAGTAGAACTATGTCGTCAGTATATTCTAAGCCAACCAGTGAATCTCCTGGTAGAAGGGTCCACTCCTGAAAATTCAGAAGAAGATAAAGTTATATCTAGAAGCAGGTCTATGACAAAATTAAGCAAGAATGGAGAAAGTGGTCATCCCTGATGGACACCACTTGAAGTGATCAATTCTGATGACGGTTCGCCATAAGCTCTTACTCGACCAGCAGTGTTCGAGTAGAGAGCTTGCATAAGGTTAACGTACTTCTTAGGTACATCTTTTAATGACAGACACTGCCACAGAACCTCACGACTGACGTTCTATATCTTTTAATGGTAAGGAAGTTCAGACAAACTTTTTGGACAAAACATTGGAATTCCGAAAGTTTCGACCACTCAAATGAATGTAATTTTTACATATCCTTTATAAAGTTGGCGAACAGTTCCAAATAAATTATTCGTTCAAATATTGACAAATACTCATATGAATTGTCAATGACGTTATTTAATTTTGTTAATATTTTGTAGTATTTAAGACTGGATCGACGTTAAATTTTCTATTTTCAGCTAATAAGATGAACTAGTTCAGCTTAAATATTTTGTCCATTATAACATGATTTATTAGTGAACAGCATAAAGGAAATTTTATTGAATAAAATAGTTTGCTCTAATATTCTTTTTATTCTTAGATTTTAAAATTATTCAGAATCATGAATTAACAAACAATTACGAACTTAATACGTTTTTTTAAAGCTATCGCTTAAATTAGATTTATGTATTCAAAAACATGGTGTTTTCACTATGACTTTGTTCTAGCGACCTCTGTTTCTGACGTGTAGTTTCGCAACAATGCTCTGCTTACCTTTAACTATTAGCTTTTTTCATAGTGCTTGACCTTTATCTGAACTTATTTCATCTTAATCTTATAATCGATCCCTCTGTTGTCGTTATTATTACGTAAAATTTCAATATACTAATCATTTTTTTCATTAAGCTGTCTTTGTGTACTTCATAACAAAGTTTTACTTCAGGATTTTAATATTATTTAACATAGAATTATTTGACGATTTGAACAACTTTTATGATTTCTACATTTTTTTTATTACATTAAACTTATGAGAAAATTTTAGCTATTATGATTTAAAGTAGGTACATCGATTTTTAATGATTAACATTAATCATGTTGAGTTTGAGAGCAGCTGATCAGAAACCATAAAACAAAATGAATTTATTTCATTCCGTTACATTTGTTTCCTATGTTCTATTTAAATTTGTCAGGGGGGAAAATTGTATGAAAATATTTGAATTTCAAGTATCAAGCGAAAAATATTATTTGTCACATGTGTATAAAATAGTAAATTAGTCGTTTAGATAGTAAAATATGTAGTTGACTTACTTCAAAAGCTGCAGCAGTCGTTCGTATGGCTTGTATACCCTTTTCTTTGCTAGATCCACCATCTGAATCATCTTGACGAAATCCACTCATATTGATTATACAACCACTGGTGAATATATTCATATCATTCTCAGAACGAATATTTATAAGTTCAGCTAATCGATTTACCTACAAAAAGACAGCATTAATTATAATTCAAAAAATCAATCAGTAAATAACTAACAAGTTACACTATAAAATTAATCCCTATAATTTGGGGATCATTGTAAATAAGCAACTTTATAATAGATTACGAAAAATTAAGCAGCTAACTTATCCACTAACTAAACTGTAGAAAGTTTATTGTTATTGAATTTCCCGAAACTAAATAAAAGCAAACAGTGATAAGATGAAATGTGCATACTGGATTTCAAAGATAGCAATCAATCTATCTAATCTATAAAACGATCTAACAAGGTTCAACTCGTCGTTCTGGTTCTAAATAAAAAGCTAGGTGTATAGGGGAACGACTAGTTAAAACAAATTTCCACGATGAGTTGAATACGTAGAACGCAAAATGGACGAAAGCATGTTCAGTAAACTGGATACAAATGCTGAATCGCTACAAATCTGACGTCATCGGTTTATATAAAGTAGGTCTGAAAACTCGACCTATGCTCCATTGGGGGTAACAGGCGTAAGTAAATAAGGTCTGAAAACTGTATTCGTCAACTTACTACTTTTTGAAATAAATATGCAAAGTGAATAGATAGAAACTACTAAACTTTGAGTTTACTGATTTTATGTTTTCCTAAAGATCCACATTGTAGCGAAAAACTTATCTATTTCCCGGAAAATCGGACTCTAGGTGTTGTGTCAATTTATATTTTGTTAGGATCTTGTGAATAGATTTTCGAACATTCGTTTCCCTTGCTATTATCCGTACAGTGAATCAGCGATCGGAAAGCCTAAAACATTGACTATATTCTAGGTTTTCATCAACACAGGAGACCAACAGTCGTTCTGGCTCAATATCTACCGTAATCTTCACAGCTCGAATTGAGATTTGTTATCTTCAAACATTTATCACTAAGACATTCGAAAAAATTTAGAGGAATTTCACAAATAATCTTAGTAACTCAGTTTGCATGTTTAATGGACAGACCGATGTATATATATGACTGAGTGACCACAATTTGAAATGAGTAATTTGGTGAAACAAACCAATGTTTTTATCACCTAATGGGTTTAAATCCACATGTAATGGACCTACTTTACAAGATATAAATAATTAGTGATTACGTTCTTGTATTGGTTTAGCTCTTTAAATTGTGCATTATGTAACCTTTCCCTAGGCGTGTGTAGGTTTTCAAACACAAAACTTGGAAAATAAATGTTACAGAGGACAAATAATTATATGAATTGTAGTAAAACGTACTTGCTCCCGAAAGAGATTCAGGTTACTCGCAGGATCTGTGTGACCGAAACAGAATACCAGTGGATCTTCTTCTAAACTCCACCCTTCCATCAAATCATATGGTTTAGTCACACTTATTGCGGCAATAGTTGTCGGTATACACACCTGTTACGCATATAATCAATAAATATATAAAGATCCAAGTTATTGATAAAAGGGGAATGCGGTCGGCAACATTGGAAACAATAAACTTTCATTAGTGGCCAGAGTGTATTTCTGAAAATGAGCCTTAAGAATTGGAAAAGTCTGAAAAAACTTACGATAGGACAACCCCCATTCAGAAATATGACTGCAAACCAAATGCCCAGGAATAAGTCTGTAAAAGTTGTTTATTATTCCAGTACGAGTAAAGCTATTGCCGATTGCTACTATTAGTTCTTCTTTAGTATGCAGGATACGATAATCAATACGGTAATGATGGTGCAAATCTGAGTTGAACTGCTTAAAAATGTCAAACACACAAAAGTGAAGAGGGCATTCAGGAGATTAGTTCTAAATGAGACAAATATTACCTCATAGACTCGATTGCTAGCCCCATTTAATATGAATTGGAGAGTGGTGCTGTGACGTGCGATATCCTAAATTATCCACCAACACATACACATGTCAAATCAACTACTCTAGTGAAAAAGTTAAGTGACAAAACAACTTTTAGTTGGCCAAATCGATATGTATGTGCACTTGATTGCAGGTAAATATGTTTGTCCCTAAGAAAATTAGGCCGTCACTCGAAGTTTTCAATCAATAATTACTGTTATCGCATAGACCCTAACCAGGCAGTATCTAACTTCGGATTTACATTCAATGATTTTATGGAGTAATACCAAGTTTTAATGTTAGGTTTTGACCCCCTCCACCCAAACTTTTTACCAATTCCCCCCGACATCAGGAAGTGGTTAGCCACACATAACGCGTACCTAAGCCTCATTAAACGATGAAAATCTAAACTCTCTCAATCACTTTACTATCATTGTCTAGTACCCCATACTTAACCTCATTCTGCGAAACGCAAGCATTGCTTTGAGGACAAAGGATCAAAGACTTGTAGCCTACGTGTGTCTCTACTATGAAAGACCATGCTTCCCAGACATTAATTAATGCAAAGTCGACAGCTGTATAGTATATTTGCCCTTCAGTTGGTAGGCGAAAGTGTCGCCAGGACTTATTGAACTCCAAAGATAGGCGAAGTGGTCAACGTACTAAGCTGTGCCACATGGTAGAAATCAGTTATTTATTTTGTTAAGATTCGTAATCGGACTTTTGTTAAACAGTATCAATAAGAACCATAAATTGGTTTATAGTGGGAAAAACTAATAACTATGAACTTAGTTAACAAGCATATTTAGTAATCCGAGATCATTAACAATTCGTTGAACAATTATTTTAAACGGGACAGTTTAGTAGATGTGTTTTCTTAGTACTTTAAACTTGGGACTAACCATTTCTTTAAACAATCACTTCCGCTTGCTTCGGTAATAAGACTAAGTTTACTAACTATCTATATACCTTTTCTAAGGTGTCAAACATGTTTAAGTTCAAACACAGAAGTTACAAAATGATACTGGAATGTTGTAATAAAAAGCTTTGACTGGACATTCTGTAATTACCAACCAAGTCATATAAATAGATGTTACTACAACTCATAGAGAATCTCAGGAGTCGACTAATCACTCATTAACGAAGATTATTAAGATAGACTGAAATCGAAGTCTCGTTTGCATCCTCCAGAGATTAATCGTGTAGTAGCAAAGATAGACACAAATACTAGCTACAGCTAGACAAGGATATTTAACATTTCGTAGAATTTAAAAAATAATACCTACATATTCCGTAAGAGAATGAGATTCATCAATAATAGGTGATTGGTGGATGGACTCAAAACAAGCATTGAAGTTTTCTAGGGATGTACTTGAAAAACAGAATATATAATTGAAAAAGAAGAATAAATATAAAAACGAAGTACGTGAACAATCAGAAAGCAGATGGGTCTAATTAAGTATTGAGCCATAGATGAGCCGAACTAGAATACAAGACACTAAACAATGAAAATTGGTAGGTAGGTCTTTAGAAGAGTTTTATATCGGTTATGGTTATATTGATAAAAAGTAAAACGTTGACACCGAAGGTTTCATGACTTCGAAAATACCCTGATACATCTTGACTCGGTATTCTTACAAAGACTATATCGAGGATATTATAAAATTGTGTTAGATCATATAGAATTGATTAATATAACAAATGCGGTACCTGATTGAGTCCGACGTTAACATCTACCAGTATTGGTTTGTGTTTTCTACGAGCTGCATAACTTGCCAAAGTGCGACAAAGTGTAGACTTCCCAACACTTTCTTGACCACATACTAACACTCGTGGTCCTCTACTCTGCTCTTTTACAGCTTTTTGTCGTGAAACTTCCAGGTTTGCATGAATGTTCATATATATGTGCACAATTTCTTGATCTTCCGATGATGCCATAATATAGGCAGCAACTCCCTGATCTTGGACAATTAATTTACAACCATGGAACGTAACGACTGTTCCTCGCTGACCCGGATGCAACTGTAACTCCCAACCGCAAACGAGTTCAGTACCAAATACCTCAGCAGCACCAGAAACTAGAGTCAAGCCAGATGGTAAAGTGACTTCAAAACGAAGCATCTGATATTTTTCTAGAGTGTATGATCGAATAGATGAATTTGGTCGAGGAAAATCCTTCACGCCATTCATTTTTGCTAAATGTGAATTCACCTGCTCTTTAACACAATGAAGACAGATTCTGTGATTCTAATCGGAAGACTAAGTTGCATAGAATATCTACAAAGGAAATAAAAAGGTAATGAGCTATATAGACAACTGAGGTAGGTTACATGAACAAAGAATCGGACAAGAAATACGAACAAGTGATAAAATTATGATTACGTTGGAAGTTCGCACACGTGGTAAAATATTCGTTTAGTGACCTGAAGGTTCGGCTAGGACTGAGTCATAAGTATATTAGGTACTAAAGTACTTTAAGGAATAATACTTAGTTGAAATCGTGACAAACAAGAAATCAACGCTACCACAAAATTTCCTCATAACTTGAAATAACACAAATACATACAAACTTATTTCGATTGAATTATTATGGAAATTTTTCCCGTCAATACATCCTACCAAGACGTGGGTCTGTCAATGGAAGTGTACTCAAACTAGTTAATTTTCAATCATAAACCTATTACAAAGGAAGCAACATTGAGAAGGACCCGGTAGAAAAACAGATTTTCTTGTATCTCCATGCTACTAGATAAATCCCACGAAACGTTTACATGACGACATAATTTTCGAGTTTTTCTCTTAGAACGAAATGGCTAACATTTAGAAGTAGGTAGAAAGATAATTGTAGAGTTATGGGACCACGAGTTATTATTTTTATCATGTACATCGAAATCGCACTCTCGATTAGGCTAACCACATAAAGGCTTTTTAATTATTAAATGATAATTCGAATAAGGCCTTTTACTGCTTGGTTAGGATAAGTCACTAGTTAATAAAAGTTCGTTCGCTAGGAGTCAAAAAAGTTGTAGATGCTAGAGAACACGTCCCATCAGGGTTCAAACATGAAAAGCGAAGACAGCTTATGATTAAACTGACAAGAAACTTACACAGTGATCGTGTGAAGTTGTAAGGAACGATAGCAAAAGGTCAGTCAGTCAGTTGCAACGTAGAACTTCGTACGTATGTACATAAGTTCATGTTGCCATACCACAGCACAGAGACGCAATGTCAAATCAAATCCCATAGTGATAAAGATAGTAGAGGTATTAAGGTTAATAAAGAAGACTAGGGTTCGAAGATATTATTCAAGAAATATAATTCAGTGAGATAAGGTTAGAAAGACAAAGATAGAGGTGCTGACGAATCAAGAAGATTAGGATTTGAGAGAGCTCAAAGAGTGGATGCACCTGCGCCATTGCAAACGATTTTGAGCCATGTCGTTCAAGGTCTCTATCAATTGATGACTTTCGTCTCGCGGACCCCAAACAGGTAGTCTACATCTACCAACATGACTCAGTCCACTTGTCAGTGACTTCATGGATTTGTGCCATGTTTTGGTCTGCCCGCCCCTAACTTTCTTCCAACCTACTCCTACACCACAAAACATAGCTCGTCGGGGCAGTCGGTGGTTAGGCATACGTAACACATGTCCAAACCACCTCAACTGATGAAGTTTTACCACTTCATCTATTGGTCTGCCATCCTTACCTAGTACTCGTTTCCTAACGACAGCATTGCTTACTCGGCTGTCCCACGATATACGAGCAATGCTTCTTAAACATCTATGATCGAATACTATCTGTCTGGTGATAGCAAAAGGAGAGAAGAAATAGAGGTGATGGGAAACACCAGACAGCTATTCCAACTCATTAAGAATCTGCCTGTTAGTGACAATGTATCGGAGAAAGGTGGGACCATTATTTGATCCAGATTAGACAGATAGGACAGAAAACCTAAAACAACAGTTCAACGGACCTCCAGCTACCCACTACAAAACAACCAGAATGACGGATAGAACCAAACCCCCCTTCCTATTTTAACGAAACTGAAAACAACTATAGCTAACTTAAAATGGTAGAAAGCAGCTGGGCCTGATGAATTAGCTCTGGAGAATTTAGAGAAGGCTCAGTTAAAGCAATAAAGCAGACTAAGATATTAGCTAAAATATGAACTGGCCTCGACCGCTGATCATAAAAGTTAATAGGAAAGGACGAGAATCCTCTCCTTACAAAAACCAGACTTTTCAGATCTGGGAGTGGATGCTCATACAAAACTTCGATGTACTATTTTATGGGTATGAAAAAATAGAGGATATTTACAGGTTAACAGTATTTGGTTTCAGGTATCTTCAAAGCACTGTTCGCAGTTTCGAACCATAAAGTGAGCAATGCTACGGTTAGGCACAGCGTACTAAGTAGGTATGATGAACCGATTGATGATAAAGTGGATCACCACTAACTGGGATGATTAACATGTGATACGCCCAACCACAACCTATTTCAAAAGGCGAAGCTGTCCAGTGTAGGAATAAGAGCAACAGCAACCAAGTTAAGACCTAAATCGGTTCATGAAACCACTGACAAGAACACTGAGCCACTTAGGCAGATATAGAATACCAAGTTGGGGTTCAAGCAACTAGTGAATAGGAATGGATAGTTCAAAATCATTTTCAATGATACAAACGCATTCACTGTCTCAAGTCAAATCCCGAAATCCATTTTCCTTATTTCCATACTTAATCTTCCGGATCATCACAGATACGGTTACTACGCTGGGATTTATCTTGATAAATCTATCTCGTCACACTAGCAAGGTGTAGCAACTTGATTCGATGCACATATGCCAGGTTCTATGATGAAAATGACTATCTGACAGAATTAAGTATGGTTGTAAAAGTATGAATTGATTGTGACAGTATTCCCGACTGTCGTTTATAAACCTAGCAGCTGCAGTTTGAGGAATGTGAACAGTAGACTTCAATAAAAGTTTTCAACCTCCTTAAGACCATTTATACGAATATGTTTATCGACTTTATCAGACAAGTCATGTCACTATGCCAAATAAGCCTAACGGGAGCAGAAAAAATAGTTATAAACTACGACAGGACTTCTGATAGTCGTATTTACGAGATGATTAAGATAAAACGTCCGTGTATTTTACATTTAGGTAATTGTGATGTGCGAAAAATGTTCGACTAACAGAAATATTCTTCAGAGGTTTAATTCCACAGAAAAATAACTTTGCCAAATTTGATGACAGAAACCGAGAAAGTTCAGTATATCGATAACTGTTCACTGTCTTAGTAGTCTCATTCGAGCTGGTAAGTTGATAGCTAGTGAAATATGGTACATGTATGAAGGCTTGCTTAGTTTTGACCACTTTACGCCGCCTACGAAACGAGACAGATTTATCTATCTACAAAAGTGAATATATTCCACGAGCTTACTGTGAAACAGCCCGTTAAAACAACATGGGTAGGCAGATAATAGATATTTTTAAACTTCTTGTGTATGATGAAACTACTCAGTGATTAATGACGAGTCAAACATCTGATTTTAGAAATGACGACCCTGTTGATGAAGAGGTGATGCTTTATCACATGAAGTGGTGTGGAAAAGTGATACAATTACCCATCCTGACGCATTGGGATGGCTAGCATGTGATTAGGTTGGAAGAGGGGTAGGTGTTGCTAAACTGAGGAATTACAGTTCTTAAAGGGAGATACTGCTAGTGGATGCGTAGGTTTACCACTTGCGATCTACAAACGAAGTCATGGTTTTAGACTAAGGCGCTTTGGTACAGCATCAGTCGCAGTTGTACATGTTCATTTTCATCTTTTTCAATCCTAAACATCCTTTCTTTATGAAAAACTACACCATAATTATGCTCCGATAAACGCATATTTCCAGTAAATACTAACTTTGAGCACAAAGAAAAACATTTCCTGACCTGGTGACCCCCAAAGCCGACCCGAAGATGGACCCAACTAAATCATATGGCTATCAGACATCGGTGTAGAGGCTCTATTGAAGACTACCACTGATTCTGGAGCACTTGTTTAGATTCAGATTATGTTCTAGTACGACAGAGTAGTTGTTTGCGTCTTACTGGATGTAGGAAAGATATTGGAAGGAGACCTCATAGGGTTCTACTTAATGATTGCAAAGCTAAGAATATATTTCAGGAACAACCAAAAAAACAGTTAGGCAACCATGTAGTAAGTGATGCCCACCTTGAGGCAGTTTGGAACGATACCATAAAGTTGTTAAAACATCAATAATGTCTGCTAGTAAGGCAATCCTATAAGGTTAGGGAGAAACATTGGACTTCGGTAGCATCTACCGGATTGATAGATGCTCGAAAAATCATTCCGTCTGGCTCTGAACACGATGAGGAGCGGAGTCAGCTTAAGCGCACGCTGATTAGAAGCTTACACAATCCTCACGAACAGTGGTGGGTGGCGAAAGCGAGAGAGATAGAAAAGGCAGCGGCGACAGGCAACAGTAGACAACTGTTCAGACTTATCAAACAAACCGGTATTAGAATTCCATCTGTTAGCGAAACTATCTCAGAAAAGGATGGTCTTATTATTCATTCTCAACCCAGGAGATTGCATTGATGGGCAGAACACTTTAGGGATCAATTCAGCTGGCCTTCAGCAACTCCTGTTACCTACGATCTCCAGTCAAGCGGAATGGCGAATTCACATAAGTCCTCCAACTCTCAATAAAGTTGAGAAAGCGATAGGAAATCTAAAATGAGAGAGCAGCAGGCCCTGATACGGTAACCCGAGATGTTTAAGGATGGTGGTTCAGTTTTAGAGGTGGGATTGACTGAGATCTTAGGTAAAATCTGTGAACTGGGCGTAATTCCATTCGATTGGTCTCAATCACCGATTGTTCCAATTTTTAAAAAAGGAAAAAAGTCCTCTTGTGAATATCACAGTGGAATCAGGTTAACTAATATAGTGTCTAAAATGTTAGACTCGATAATACTTAGACGCCTAAATAAGGCTCGCGAGGAGCAGACGGGAGAAAACCGAGCTGCTTTCAGACCTGGAAGTGGCTGTATATTCACACCACGACAGGTCCTAGAACACAGACATTTCAGCGTCCGACAACATTTGTATTACTGGACCTTAAAGAAGCATTTGACCATAAACCGTGAGTTTCTGCGTCAGTATCTGTCATTAGAACGTGTACTAAAGAAGTATATTAACTTTGCACAGGCTCTCTACTCGAACACAACTAGTCAAGTTAGAGCTTATGGCGAACTGTTTTCGGGACTGATTACCTCAATTGGTGTTTTTCAGAGCTGTTAACTTTCTCCGTTCTTGTTTAAATCTGCCATCAACGTGCTTTTAGATACGACGCTTTCATCATTTGACTTCTCAGGAGTTGAACTGTTTCCGGGAGAATATGCAGATGACATAGTTCAGAACGCAGTCTTCTGACCACTCTAAATAAAAATGCAGGCATGTTCGGGATGCGATTCTCCCCCTCCAAATGCAAAATGTTGATTCAGGATCGGCTTGCTTCGGCACCTGAACTAGTTATAGGGAGTGGAGAGGTTGAGCGTGTCAACGGCTATACTTATCTTGGTAATTTCACCAGTGCTGATGGCCGAGTGACTAACAAAATCTCGGCACGGATATAGAAGACTCAACTAGCTTTCGCATCACTTATGGCGTAGGCGAGATATCCGTTTCTAACCAAACTACAAGTCTACTGCGCAGCAGTTCGCTCCGTCCTATTATATGGATGTGAAACAAGGCCGTAAGAGTTGAGGATATTCGTAGGTTAGTGGTTTTCGATCATAGGTGTCTCCAAAGCATAGCTCGTTTGTCTTGGGACTATCGAGTAAGCAATGCTGTCGTTAGGAAACGAGTACTAGGTAAGGATGGTAAATCAGTAGATGAAGTATTGAAACTTCATCAGTTGAGGTGGTTGGAATATGTGTTACATATGCCCAACCACTGACTGCCTAGACGAGTTATGTTTTGTGGTGTTGGGGTAGGTTGGAAGAAAGCTAGGGGTGGCCAAACGAAAACATAGCACAAACCCATGAAGTCACTGACAACTGGAATGAGCCATATCAGTAAATGTAAACTACCTGGTTGGGGTCCGCGAGATGATAGTAATCGATGGTTAGAGACCCTTAGTACCATGGATCAAAACTGTTTGCAATGGTGCAGGTATATCCATTCATTGAATTTTCTTAAATCCTAATGCTCTGAATTCCTTATGACCGTTCTTTCACTTTTTTTTAACCGATCCCTCTAGTGTATACATCTCGATCAACAATCTTTTTGATAACTGTTAATACATCTACTACCTCTACTATGGGATATGAATCGACAATCGCGCCTCTATGTTAATGTGGTGTAGCAACTTGAACAGATGCATGTACGTACAAAGTTCTACGTTGTAAATAACTGACACTACAAGTGTAGATTAGTCATTTAGCCTACAAACACCTAAAAGCAACAGGAGGCTTAATCATGAATCTTTAGCTTAAAGTACTTCGAGGAGCTTTCTCAAGGTCTAACTATTAAGTAGATAACAGGTCCAACCAATGATAGAAAGTCAAGGAAAACGGTCCGAAAGTCATCACTAGCCTGAGTGTTTGAAGATCACTACTTATTCCATCATATGATTTAATTTATTCTCTAAAACATAATTATCAACATAATGGGATTACTAAATATTTACACGCCGCACAAACCAAAGAATTTAGGGGCTTAAACCGAAGTGGTTCACTTCAGTTTCCACTAATTTGACCATATAACGTGAAAGACTATGGTCGGAAGGAATGTTCACAGCATCAGTCAATAAATTCTGGATTTGAAAAACCGGCATTTGAGGTTGCGTTCTCTTTAAAACCACTTCTTGGTAATACACAGATTTTGTTTATAGTGAATTTGTCAACGAATCTCCTTAGCAAATGTCTTCCAGCCAATAAGTTACTTCAGCATATAAGGATAGAAAGTAATAATTTGAGAAATTATGAAGCCTCAGTGGATCCGACCTAAATGGTGTAATTTATTATGTTCAGGTAGAACTAATATCATGGGAACAAATCCCTAGCAAACTAGGGGAACTTTGAGTGTTACCAACCTTGTTTAAAAATTTTCCGCCTGTCCGGAATAAAATGTATGCTCAGATGAAATTTCGACTCATCTAATTAAACCTACATATGGCATGCCTCTCACACACTGAACTTGTTTCTGCCAAAACTTCTGCGACAATTACATTTATTAGTCAAACAATGCTTTCATGGGATGAAATTTTATCTACTACTTTAAATCATGCGTACTTGTTTCAGACGCAAACCTTTTGACAAAGCGTCGCAAGTCTAAGTTAGAATGTAAACTCATATATAAAAATCATTTATTAAAAAACATTTTGAATATGTACAAAGACATTAGCAAAGTTGTGATGTCATATATGTTCGTCGTTACTGGAATTTTATGAGATGCTTTACAGAATTACCTTGGCTAAATCGTTGGGTGGCAATCTGAGAGAATGAAATGGCATCCTCATTCTTCCTATGGACCAGCTCTATAGGTTTGGAAGTCGACTGGGCGGCTGGAGCACTCTCTCAGGTTCTTTTTCTTTCTAGTCTTATGAACACCGATGGTATAAATGTAACAGTGTCATATGCAGGTTGTCTGCTCTCAAACTGCAGAGGGTATCTAGAGCATAGGCTGAAACTCTTTACAAACTAATTTTGAAAATTTAAAACCATACACGAAATTCGAATATATTTGCATAGGACTAAAAATAGGTTATCCGAGGTTATCACATGCAAAATGTAATTTACGGAGCGAACTCACTTATTGCATGAAGACTGAATGTAACGCACAATTTGAACTGTTAGTTCGAAACGGTCTGAATGATTGTGGATGGAAAAGAAGCATTCACTCAATCGGCTTCCCTATCCAGTAGCAATAAATCACTAATGCCTCTAAGTAGGAAATGAGGTAACCTTAATAGCAAACGATAAATACTGCCAAGTTTCGTTTTGAAGGACTGTTGAGAAGTCGCTCGAACCACCTCATCCGGCAGAGAATTCCGGATTTCGACTGCTAATAGAGTGTGTACACGGCCTTTTCTACCATGTTACGTCGCTAACTTCCGGATATTGCTCGTTGGTTCCGCCCAATTGAAATGAAGTAAGTATTCTAGAGGATCCACAGGAGATTTTACGATTGTAGATGTCGCGGATATTCAGAGCTTAACAACACTCTTGTCCGTAACATGTTTCGGAATAAATATGGCCAAAATTAAGCTGAACTAGGAGTCAGGAATGAAACTAAAGAAGATATATTTGAATGAAGGTCGGTATGTTGAAAAGTGAGGGAGCCAAGCTTGCTGGTTTATGAGAGGATGTGCGCCGTATGGCGTACCTAACGGTGATCTTGACCAAATCCTTGCAGATAATGTGTTACCTGTAAAAATAGTAAGGTCAGCGTTAGTTTCAAAGACAATAAGAACTATTTATTTTAGGAATTTATTTACCGCTCATTCTCATGGTGTAGACCTAACATTCATAACTCTAGAGGGAACTCCTTTAATAGCTAGCTTCTCTCAGCAGCGTTAGGTGGTCTTTTTCTACTCTGAGGTACTATGTGGATAACAACAATAGTAAATAAAGTATGTGCGATGACAAATACGATTCTTCGAATTCCTCTTCTGCATTTCGGGTTTTACAGTCGTCCTGTAAAAGAAAGAAATGGGAATCTAAGTGCATAGTTATATAGGCTAGCGAAATGTATAAATGCGTATACATACCTTGAAACAGGGATAAAGATTACTCATGAAAAGATTTTTAACCTTAACTCATATTCCCGAACCATGAAATGTTTTGTTCTATCAATCACAGATGTAGGTATCCTTTGCGGCAGATAGGTCGATTTGAGTTGAGTGGTGGTTGAAAACTCACGATTAGCGAAAACTAATTTGTCCAGTGGTTGTGGTGTTTGGTAAGGGTTAGCAGAACAAGCTACAGGTCAAACGTAGAGAAATTCGGATGCTTCACTTCTATCTGACGTTTGTGCTTATGATGTTGTTCAGAATAACAATGAAAGATCCACAACCGAAACATCCAGCTCAGAGAACCAAACACCACCAAAATCATCCACCTGAGCTACAAATCTTCTCCACCATCTCAATTTGTCCAGTGCCAGTCTCTGAGGTCTTGCTGTGACTGGGGCTCTTCGGTTGACTATGCGGCTTACCACATAATTAATCACCGATAGGATCTCCTTGATTTCGTTACTTTGAGGAATTTATCAAATATAACAAGAAATAAACAAGCATACGAAAAAATACACCAGTGATTCGGTACACATCTTTTGGAGCTTTCAAACCCCTGGATTTAATATATGACGAAGTATCGATTAAGTGCAGCCTACGTGAATCGAATAGCGATTCATAGAGCTGTAGGGAATCAATACCGAGTACGGCTATCAGGACATCAGCAGGGATGAACTACCACAGGTACTGTCGTCGATTATCCAGGTTGATAGAGTACCTTCGACAGTAGATATTGTGGCGAGTGTGCGAGGTTGGGATCTTCAGACGTAGTCGCTCGAGTAGAGGTTGACTAAGATCACCATTAGAGACTAATTACGTTTCCGTCACTAACTATAATATTGCCGTGAATCAACCACGGAGAAGAAAAGTTAATCGAGACAAAGGAATATATTTGTTGGCGATTTTGTGGTATGGGAGGAATACCGAAATCGTGCCAGAAAATTTTACTTTCCAGAATCCTAAATAATATTAAAAAAGGTTACTCCTCAACTTAAACAGTGGCCAAATGTAATATTTCTAGACAGTGGTTGTATTGAAAATGATAATAAATTTTGTTTCACTTTACACTTATACATCTACTTCTTGATTTTAAGTTGATATAAGATTACCGTTATTAGTCTAGTTTTTCTTTTTGCATGTCTCTCCACCTTTGCTTGACCATGAGACTGATTATTTTAGAATTCATTTTATTAAACCTCAGTCACTGGCTGGCGCTATATTTATTTTAGATATTCTAACCTGTCTGCAGTCAGCTTTTTGATTTTTCTGACTATTTACAAACAGGATAGTTTCTTGTTAATCAAAAGCTCTATTTCATCTGTAAGGAATCACGAGTTTGAGAAAAATCAAGCTAAAAGCTTACCCACAACAATCTACTCTATTTACAGAGTTTTTATGAAACTCGTCTGTTAACCTAATATTAAATTCACTCAAAGCGTAAACCGTTAACAGTTGACACACTTCAGTAAAGTGTGTATTTCTTCGTTATATTACCTGAACACCCTTATTTCCTTTCCTTGGTTAATGTGATTGATTCATTATGACTGAATTTTAATTTTCCTGTCTCAATTAAGTCATTATTTCTCCCTGTAATGAGCGAGTCAAGACACCAGATTGACTATGATCACCACTAAATGTTCCATACGGTCCCGTCATTCATATCAAAACAAATATATGTTCCAAGGTTTTATTGAAGGAGAAATGAGGCATTACATCGGGAACAGCAAATAGAGAAGAATGGCAGCAACGCGAAGAGAACGTTGCGCGCAAGAAGTGGGAGAAGTGTTTTTAGTACAGTTAAACAAAACGAGTACAATAATGTTTATTTTTCACAAAGCGTTCCACTACATCCCTATAATCTTTTACGAAATAAGGGACGTGCATCTTAGAATTTTGAACGTTAACTATTTATATTATTTGCTTAATTTTGTCAACTATGAATGCCGAATCCAAAAGTAAAATTTTGTTAGTCTTACAGAATTTATAATGCTTGAAGTGATTGTAAAGAAGTGTGTAGAAAAATATCAAGAAATTACTTTTGAAAAAAATCCTAAAGATTGCACCATCATATTTCCGAAATGACAGGATAGTATTATTTAATAGTAGTTCATATATTATCGTTAGTTATTTATTAAATCTAACAAAGACTTAGGAAGTAATTTATCAAGAGATTGTAACAATTTCGCATCAGTATCATATCGAATCCAAATATAGTTGCTGGTCACAGAAATTATTTCGATTCATTTTAAAATGAACAAAAGATAGAATTAGTAATCTTATATTGATCTCGTTAGTCACAAATCAATTTGATATATCTTCATATGTTCTTAATGATTTACTCTACTGAAAGTTGTAATAAGACAATTGACTTATTTTCAGCTTTTAGAGTTCATAACATGCTATGGAAAGTATTATTCTGTTGGATGTTTAGTTGCTTGGACATACTTGTAGCATATTTTCGAAAAAGGTTATTCAATTGTTAGAGACAGCATCTGACCAGTTTGTTCAATCAGGCGTTTTAAATGTAATCATAAAGCTATTTAAGGTAATAATAATAGTAATCATAATAATAATAATAATAATAATAATAAGAAGAAGAAGAAGAAGAAGAAGAAGAAGAATAAAGAATTGTACGTCCATAATCTGTTTTAATGCGTACATTTTCCCACATTACTGACAATATAATGTTACTAATGTCTTGATTTTTTCAATCCTGTACTAGCAGATCAATCAAGGATTATGGCAGGTCTAAATGTCGGTACATGGTAATTAAAGTATGTAGATATAATTTCAAAATGCAAATGAAGGATTCTCATACATTAGTAAAATCTACAATGTTAATTACTTTATCAGAAATCAGCCATTTATTTTCATTACAAATATTTGCGTATATGTCACATAACTATTTTTTTTCGCAAAAATACCTGTTTCAGTGATATGAAAAGGACATGAATCATGTTTGGAGTTATTTGTACACCTAAATATATCAGGTATCGAAATACAAAAACCTGGCTGTAATTTTTTGAGTGACGTGGGAAATAGCCTCAAGTGCATACTTCGTGTATGTTCAAATTCCCTAAAAATACTCTAATTTATGCTGTCGATTCAAAGAAGGGTTTTGATAAATGTCATAACTGGAATGTGGAAATATACTTCTAAAAATTTTGTATCATCTGTTGACTTAATAAAATCTTGTACTGAAACTTCGAATACTTAGGCTGAGAAGAAATTTTGGTGTTTAAAGCATCGGACGCTCAAAATGTAAGTTACAGTTTTGAACACTATCATCAAATTGTGGTTTTGATCTGTGCACAAAAACCTCTACTTGATAAGAGAAACATTAGAGTGATGTGTTGGAATCGATTAAAATACACTTATGGACTAAGTATTCAAACATCAGCTCAGAAAATTGTCAAATATAAAGATTATTCTATTTATACTCACTATATAATGAAATTACCATTTACATAACAGATTCAATAATTAGTTACTGAACATCATCAGCAAAGGTGGTTAGAAAAGTACTATAATTAAACCTCTAATTACTGTATCGTATTTAGAGTTTCTTGAACACAGCAGTTCAAAAACTAAACAAGCAGCATTTGACTAATAAAAATAACATACAAACTGAAATCCAACTGTGCGCTTTATTTAAGCATCAAAAAATTGTTATGAATAACACAAAAATAATGTTTTATTACATAATGATTCAACAGTAAAATCATCTCGTAGTTTGATAAAAGTTTGATTTTGACTACATTAATTATTCCACTTAACACAACTGTTTTTACAGTATACATCTAAAGGCTAACATAAGTAATAATTTTGTAACTGAACTTATTTTTACGTCATAAAACAATGATAAATTGTTACCCATTAACTATACACGTCTTTGAGAAAAAATCAGGTTAAGTATCCTCTCAACAAATGAATTAATGTTAGCTTATTGGTTAGAAAAAAGCAATTTCAAAAAGTTAACCTAAGTTACGGGTTGAATCACTTGTTGCCTTCATATTGAAACCATGAATTAGTTTTTCATTCTTCATTTTGTCCTTTCGTACAATTAAAAA